TTGGCAGAAAAATATAAGGAAATATTATGATTATTTCATGCCTATATAAACAGCTTCAACTACCATTATCGTAATTAAAACTTTATTTATAAATGTGTCATAAATGTCATGGTTGTGTTGTAGAACCTTTTTTTTCTTGAAATATTGTAATTTTTTTCAAATTTTTTTTATCATAGATAAAACTAGAATTAATCTAAGTTTTAATTTGAAAAATAAATTAGGATAATTTTGTTTTCTTAGGCTAGAAAATGTTAGAAGATTCTAGTTAATATGTGTGCCAAAAAGAGGATGCACAAACATTTTTAGACCTGTAGTTTTGTAAAAAAAAATCTGCAAAGGCTAATGTTTCTGTATAGTTTGCACGACGCAGATATAAGAAGCCAAACAGATTTATGAACGAAAAACAAACATTATTTTTTTTAAATTATAAGGACTATTTTTGTACTTTTCTCTTTGATTTTATTTTCTTAGAGGTTGACGTAGCAGAATATTGTGGAGTGATATAGGAGTTTGTGTGTTATGAAAGAAATTTAGAGAGTGAAAGGCAATGTTTTGAAACCGATTTTTTAGTTGAACCGGTATGGTGATCGGTTTTCTGTTTTAGCCGGTTCAACCGCCGAGTAAACCAGTTTCTATATTCTCATCTTTTTTCGAATTTTCCTACACACACATACATACATAAATCAAGAATTTGATGTCCACAAGTTCAAACATTAAAAATACACATAAAAACAAGTTGTTGATCAAACTAAATACATTAAAATAACACATAATCATAAGTTTTACATTAATCCACAATGCATTAAAAAGAAAATAAAGTCCTAGATGAATACAAATATATCAAAAAACTTCATAAAATTTATCATGTGCTTTTATTCAGAAAAATCTTAATAGATGTGAAAAAACCACCAAAGTTTATTTTGCAAAATGTTTCAATTCCATATGTTTTTATTCAGTTTAACCGGTTCAACCTTTTTAAATTAACCGGATTTTTGTTAAAACCAACCGGTTTGTTCCGGTTCAGAAATAGACATAAAACCGGTGATAGTTGAACCGCTTCATTCCCTGATTTCCGGTCCAACCGATTCGACCGGCTGGTTCATAGCGGTTTTTAAAACATTGGTGAAAGGTGCTTGAAATGGTGTACCACTTCTAACCGGTTATTTTTTATTAAAATGAGACGGTACTCCAAACCTACTTAAATAGACCATTAACCAACCAAAATAACACTTCAAAAACGTGCCATTTTAGCTAGGGTTACTAATATAAAGCTAGTATATTATGAGTTTTTATTTAAATTATTATATTTTATTTGATCAATTAATTATATTTATTTTAAAAAATAAATCACTGTAATCACTATAACCTTTATATATTCATGAGTAACCACAAGTTACTAATTACACTTTTTGATCTTAAATAGCTTTTGTGGATATTGGTAATTTATATATATAGCTAAGTATAACTTTGTAATAACAAACTTTAACATTTAATATTTAGCTATGATGATGTCAAGTTAAAGTTCAAGTGTAATTGTCTTGCATTTGCATTTGCATTTGCATTTTACATCTAAACTAATTCCAACAATTAGTTATTAGTTACGCTTATTGACCTTTAATTTGGGGTTTCTCGTGCTAACAAATAAATGCATAATCTTGTAATACATAGACATGATAGTAAGATGGTATAATAAACAAATAAATGAAAATATGTCGTTAATTCATGCATATTTCCATAACCATAAAAGAGTACAGTACAAATTGGCGTCTGTGGTATACTAAAAATTACAAGTTACACCAAAATTTAAGAAGATGTGAACGTGATGACTAATTCAGCAAGACTCAAATTCTTCATGGCTCTTCGTTAAGAACTGTAGTAACACTCCTAACCTTTTTTTTATATTACTTTTCTACTCTGTATTGATAATCCAATCGACCAAAAAAAAGTTAAATCCCTCCTACGAAAAAATCATTAAACTTCAAATCAAATTAATTTGGGTTTTCGAATCAAATGTGATGGCATTTAAGAAACTATAAAAGAATGACAAAAAATAAATTGTAAAGAAACATATGTACACTCTTCATGTTAAAACTTAATGGTTTAAGAGCAAGATGACTAGATGGTAGCCATCTCTCTCTCTCTCTCTCTCTCTCTCTCTCTCTCTCTCTCTCTCTCTCTCTCTCTC